AAAAAAAAAAAAAAAAGAAAAAAAAAAAAGATGAGAGATTAGCTTTGCCTTTTCTTTCTCACTTATTTGTAAGCGTTTAATTAAATATAGGTATCATGCTTTTGTTAGCAAAATGATTTCCTTTTGGTGGTCTCCCCACGAGTCCTGCTCTACATAAACATGCTCGCCGATTTAATACAAACCGACTTGGATTTTAACAGCTGCAGTCTTCCCACAGCGATCACTTTTCATGTGGGCCAGGGATTGAGTTTCCTTTGTGCTGGAAAGGTTGCTTCATCAGTGCCTGTATTTCCTTACAGTAGAAGTGCTGCATTTGCTTACTTGGCTACCTTCTTTATTCGACCCGGAGAATGTCATTCCCTATCCTCTGCAAACCCAGTATTAATACTTTGAAATGACACATCCAATTACGTTTCCACCTCTGGGCCTGCAAGTGTTTTCTCAAAGCACGCTTAGCTTGATACTTCTTAGACTGAGTCCTATCATAGTTGTTACTGTTTCAAAAGAATTTTTTTGAGCTAAAATTGACTTTAAAATTTTTTTATTTCACCAGCCATGGTGGTGCACACCTACAATCCTAGTACTTGGGAGGCTGAGGCAGAAGGCTCACCACAAGTTTGAGGCCAGCCTGGGCTACATAGTGTGTTCGGGGCCAGCCTGAACTATATATTGAGACCCTTTCTCAAAAAACCAAAGAAAAAAAAATTTCTCTTTTGACATTTGCAGAATAAATTTTTTCTTTGATACAGTGGTACCTTGGTTCACAAATTCTTTTAAAAAAATTAAGTTCATGAACCAAGGTACCACTGTACCAGATAGGTTTGTGGGTTTTCCTCTAGGACCAAGGTCATACCTATGTCTTGAATTAGCCTCACATGCACACAGAATGACTGGGGAAGTAGGCTAAGCTCCACTAAGTACTAACAATCTAATTAATTGCCTTGATTAAGAGACAGTAACAACATAGGATATAGGTCTTTTCTATAGCTGAAGATGGGAAAGCATACAGCTCTCTGCTCGTATGCCAGCAAAGGCCAAGTCATCGACCCAAAAATAATTTCTTACCCTGTCTGATCTTGGCTTGGCATATAGCCAGATGAATTCTTCATTAAGACATTGAAGAATCTCAGAGGGAGGTGGGTGCTGCGGAGTTACTTTCATTTTAATTTCTGTTTACTTTCTTACAGAACTTTTTTTTTTTTGAGACAGGGTCTCACTGTGTGGTTCAGGCTGGCCTTGAACTCACTGTGTTGCCCATTCTGGCCACAAACTTGCAGTGATCCTCCTGCCTCAGCCTCCCAAATGCTGAAGATTATAAGTGTGTGCCACAATGCCTGGCAGAACTTTCTAAAATAATGGTATCTGCCACTGGAATTTGGAAGAAAAAGCTGTATTTGAAGCTTGTATAAGGTTTTTATTGTTGTTGATTTAGAAAGGAATTTAGAACCAAGTATTGTAGAGTTCTTACTGGAGGGAGGGGTTCATATAGTTCATATACATGTGTGCGTGTGTATAGCATTAAACTTAGAAGTTGCAGGAATAGTACAAAAAACTCCTGTGTAGTCTTTACGCAGACCGCACCTTGTTTCCAGTTGCCCCTGTGTTGTGCTCCCCACCTTCTTGCTGCTTCCTTTCCTCTATCTACTTTTTCCTTGAAATTTTAAGAGTAAATTGGAGGCACAGGACGACAAGGTCCTTTATAGCTGAATATGTCAATGTCAGTTTGCTGAGAACAAAGATATTCTACTACCCGAACCCAGTACACTTAGCAAATTAGCAAATGTGATGTTTGTACCCTTCTGACGTCTGATCCACAGTCCGTATTACTAATGTTGTCTCTGCCCACAGTGTTCTTTGGAGACTTTTCTCTTCCTAGAACTGGGATGCAGTTCAGCCTCAAACATTGCATTTAGCTGTCATGACTCTGGCATCCCTCGATCTGAGAAACTTGCTTAACTTTCTTTGTTTTTCTTAACTTCAACCTTTTGACACATGGCCAGTTATTTTTCTAGAATTTCCCTCCATTTGGACTTGTTTCCTTCTGATTAGATTCAGGTTCTGAATTTTGGCAGGAATACCAAAGAAATGATGTTGTGCGCTCATGTTTGGAGGCATGTGATATATTTAATCCCCTTTGGTGATATTAATTTCCTTCCCCCTTTGCGTACTTGTAACTACCTTTCCCAACAGGGAGAAATCTGGGTCCCATTATCCTGGATATATTTACTTACTTGCTCAAGTTTAGAATACACAGAAACTAGTTTCAAAACTGCTAACCTGTACATTACACAAAATACAGCTAGTAACTAGAGTCCAGTATGTGCGGGGTTCTTTTTTCAGGTAAAATGTGTATACCCTGAAATTCATGAATCTAGATTTCATAAGCCCGCACTTGTATGACCCAAGCTGCTCCACTCAGAATGCAGATCACGGTTCCCATGGTTCACCACAGTAGGCTCCCTTGCACACATCCCAGTCAGTTCTGGGGACAAGGGAGTGTGTTAAATACTGCGGCTGTTCTTTTTTATAAAGGGTAAAAGCTAGGTGTCAGTGGTGTTTTATGCACCAGTGACCTTTCTGGGGCCTAGAAGTTGACCAGAAACTTGTCTGATATTTGCAGAGTCAGGAGCAGGGCTGCGCCTACCCAAGGAGACTTTAGGTGGAGCATCCTTGCTCTCTGTGCAGTTCTGTCACCCACTGCCTTTGTGATCTTGCAGGGACAGCCTGCTCTGAGGGAGCCATCCTCGGCCCAGGCCTGCATACCATCTGGGGCCTGCCTCTTGTGCAGATGGGGCAAGATAGGCCCGGAAACCCGATCTTAGCTTTTAATGAGTGATTAGCAACCCTAATAATATACTCGTGCTATGGGGACCACATGACGGGTTCTTCTGTCCATGAGTTCTCATTAAACTTTTGCAGGTGACTTGTTGGCTTTTGTGTGCATCGGGACCTGTGTGTCCTGAGCAGTGACGGGGACAGGGTGGCATTGAACAGTAAACATCAGCTGGTACCTTCAGGTATTAAATTGCATTTTCTTCTTGCCTTTATCATAGCCAGCCTATCTGTTTATCTCGAGATGTTACATCATCCTACCTTTCTTATAGAGTGTTTCCTTATGACTTAAGCGTGAAAGCATGAAAGACAAAAATTAAACTGAGAAAGCTCTGTCCTAAAGCAGCTTGTCGTAG